GTTAAACTTCATGATTGCACGTTGTGATTAAACTTCACTTCATGAATTATTGTGATATGAATCTCTTGGTGGAGAACAGATGTGAAGATACAGCGTTTACAGATGTGATCACAGACGTCGGCCATATTTCTTCGAATGAAACAGGAAGTCAGATCGAGGTTAGAGATCGCCAATCATTCACAAACTGCACATAATAAATTACTCTTATTTCCAGTTTTCTGTCACGTTTCAGCCACAGCCCGGTCCATATCACCGAGTGCTTCAGTCCTGGTTTAGCCTAAAGTTCTCCTGTGTTCTTGGCCGAGTTTAGTCCAATATATCGTGGTATGTACTATTGTTCGAATCATTTAATATCTAGTTTTCTGTCATGTTTCAACCACAGCTTGGTCCCATATTATTATGTGTTTTAGTCAGTTTAGTTTATGATATTCTCTGGTGTTTTAGTCCTGTAAATCAAATCAAATCAAATCAAGTTTTATTTATATAGCACATTTTTAAATGATTTTTGGTGGAGCCAAAGTGCTGTACATAATAATGACCTTACAGTAAGGACACTTTACAGCAAATACAACAGCACAGTTTGTGCAGAATATCAGTATGAGAAAACGACACCCTCTGTCCTTTAAACCCCAATAATCTCTGGTGTTTTAGTCCTGGTTTGGCCTCAAATGTTCTGGTGTTCTTGCCCTAGTCCAATATGTTGTGGTGTGTACTATTGTTCGAATCATTTTATATCCTGTTTGAGCCCAATATTCTGTGTATTTTTTACTTGGTTTGGCCTAATATTGTTAAGTGTTTAGTCCTGGTTTGGCCTTAAATTCTCTGGTGTTTTAGTCCTAGTTCAACCCAATAATCTCTGGTCTTTTAGTCCTGGTTTGGCCTGATATTATGTGGTCTTTTAGTCCTGGTTTGGCCTGATATTATCTGGTGTTTTAGTCCTGGTTTGGCCTGATATTATGTGGTCTTTTAGTCCTGGTTTGGCCTGATATTATGTGGTCTTTTAGTCCTGGTTTGGCCTGATATTATGTGGTCTTTTAGTCCTGGTGTGGCCTGATATTATGTGGTCTTTTAGTCCTGGTGTGGCCTGATATTATGTGGCTATAATCATTCAGAAACTGAAAATACTAAAGTATGACTCGACTTATTTCCAGTCACGTTTCAGCCACAGCCTGATCCATGTCACCGTGTGATTTAGTCCTAGTTTAGCCCAATAATGGGATCTTCTCTGGTGCTTCAGTCCTAGTTCAGCTGGACATTCTCTGGTAATTTAGTCTTGGTTACATTTGATTTAGTTTGGTGTTTAAGTCTTAGTTCGGCCTAAAATTCACTGGTGTTGTTGGCCTAGTTTAGTCCAATATATAGTGGTATGTACTATTGTTCGAGTCATTTTATATCTAGTTTTCTGTCATGTTTCAGCCACAGATCATCCCATATTGTAATGTGATTTAGTCCTGGTGTAATGTGATATTATCTGGAGTTTAGGCCTTGGTTATTCTCCAGTGTTTTAGTCCTGACAGTCTAATATGTTGTGTATTTTAGCCAGAGTTTGGTGCAATATTCTGTGTTTTTTAAGTCCTGGTTTGGCCCCATATTTACTGGTGTTTTAGTCCTAGTTTAGCCCAATAATCTGTGGCTTTTCAGGGTCTGCTTTGGCCCCATATTCAGTGTTTGGCCTCATTTTGTTTTCTATTTAGTCCTGGTTTGACCCCATATTTTCAGATTTTAGAGTACTGGTTTGATAAGACATCCTTGTGTTTTAAGTTTCAAAAAAGGATGCTAAAGACAAGTATTTACACCAGCTAAAAAACAAAAAATCACTTAGGAAATGGGTATATATATATTGGTTTTGTGTAGTATTCTCTGAGGTTGTACTCTTGGTGTTGTGTAGTATTCTCTGAGGTTGTATTCTTGGTGTTGTGTAGTATTCTCTGAGGTTGTACTCTTGGTGTTGTGTAGTATTCTCTGAGGTTGTACTCTTGGTGTTGTGTAGTATTCTCTGAGGTTGTACTCTTGGTGTTGTGTAGTATTCTCTGAGGTTGGTTTGGTTGAATATTCTCCTCTTTGTTACACCTCCCAGTCTCTTCAGCCATGTTATGGTGTCACAGTCATGGTGTTCAGGACCGGTTCTGGGGGTCCTGGTTCTGGGGGTCCTGGTTCTGGGGGTTCTGGTTCTGGGGGTTCTGGTCCTGGCCTCACAGCGGCTCAGATCCGGTCTCTGAATGAAGTCTGGGTTTATTGATAGAAGCGGTCAGACAGTAAACTCTTTTCTGACGCCCTTCCTGTTTCGGTTTCAACAGACCAGTTCCTCTTGGTGTAAGGAAACGCTGTGTGTGTGTGTGTGTGTGTGTGTGTGTGTGTGTGTGTGTGTGTGTGTGTGTGTGTGTGTGTGTGTGTGTGTGTGTGTGTGTGTGTGTGTGTGTGTGTGTGTGTGTGTGTGATCTGTTGTCTGAAGTTAGTGTATGTACTCTGTCAGTCTGCAGACCCACTTCCTGTTCACCTTTGACCCACTGGTCTCTCTGTAGTGGGTTTCAGTTCTCCTGCGGTTGGGGGTCTTACTGCCTGACTTTCACATTGACCTGCAACACACTGTGATGGTTAGCATGTAGCACTAGCCATGCTAACATTTACTGCTGAGTCACACTAATATCTGGAGCTTCAGCTCGATAACTCTCAAGTTTCAAGATTCAGTTTCAAGTCTCTCTCACCGTGAGCTCAGCAGCTTCAGAGGAGATGTGGAGATGAGAAACTGAAGTCCTCCTCCAACAGAGCAACATGAATATATATAGGACATAAAACTAATATAACAGATCAAATAGTGAAAGAGAATGTTTTGAGATGTAAATAAAAATAAAATAGAGATAGTGCCAGAAGAGTCTATAAACAAGTAAATGGAATGATATATAGATCAATAATTAGCAAGATGACAGTGATTTGGTCCCTTAGTCTCTGATGTTTGACCCCCAGCTGTAGCCCCAATTTAGATCAACATTTTCTGGTGTTTTTCTCCTGGTTTGACCCAAAAATCACTTTGAGTTTTCCTAAGTTTGGTCTGATATTCTGAGTCCTGGTTCAGTCCAATGTTCTGTGGCATTTTAGACCTGGTGGTTAGGCCCAATATTTGATGGTTCTTTTTCAATCTTCTCTGATGTTTGAGCCACAATTTGGTCGTATATTATTCCGTGCTTTCGCCTCAGATGTTGGGTATGTACACTCACTATGCTAGCATGCTAACATCAGCTATGGAGTTGGAAAACAGTTGTTGTTTTAGCCCCAGTTTGGTCCGTTTGAACCCAATATTATCTTCTATCTGAGCCGGTATTGTTTCAAGTTTCTGTAATGTCTTGGCATTCATTTAGTCCGTGTTTAGGCCATCAGTAATCTTTCATGTTCTGCATTGATTTGACTTAATTTTCCCTGTGAGTTTCACTCTGGTTTTATCTGATATTCTTCAGGGTTCTTTAGACGTGTTCTGGTCCTGTTTGGCCTCTTTTCCTCAGATGATTTAGCCCAGATTTGGTCCAATGTTCTCTGGTATTTCTGTCTCAGTTAGACACAGTTTTCTCCTGAGTGTTTGTCCTCTTTTGGTCTGATATTTTTTTAATTTGTACGCCTGTATTTCACGTGAGGAACGTCTGTGTTGTTTACCAGGAGCCCGTTTTCTCCACCTGTTTGCACTCATACTCTTTTCAGTAATCCCACCATCTGCTGTCCTCTGTCTTCGTTCAGAAGTCTCTCCTCTCACATTTCTGAAAGACAGAAAGAGAAAATGTTCTGTAAATCTCATGGCTCTAATTTTACCGAGCGTCTCGGTTCCTCTGTGGGTCGGGAGACACTTCCTGAAGCGTTTAAATACAAATAAAAAGACAGAAAAAGAAGGAACGCAGCTGACGGGACGAAACCAGCTGTGAGTTCCTGAAACTCTGACGTAAGACCAGAAAACCACAAGGCCTCGAAACGCTGGACTTTCCTCCCAGCATTACAGGAACATCCTTTATTTATGGACCACATGTATGTCTTCCTTTCTCAGCTCTTAAGGTTGATTTGATGCTTTATTAAAAAGTCCTTGATTTCATTTGCTTTGAAACGCAACACGTCCTGCATGTTTCCTTGTAATACATTCAGTTTAATGTTCGTTTCCTCTGAACTGATGTCCGATTATAGTTCTGTTTTGACTGTCAAATTACCTTTAGGGAAACTCAACACTTCCAATACAGTGCCGTCCAGTTCTGACAGGCTTTACTTTGAAAAGGCTGCAGGAAAATGTCAGTGACTGTAATTTGACTTTGCATCTCAAAGCTTTACTTCACATTTGCCACCAAATTATCAACATTTAGAAAACCAGTACTGGTGAAATGTCATTATTCTTGATACTGATTTAATACCAGGGTAAAAACAAACCAATGAATCCAACATACTCTCCGTCAGACTGCTTTCTGTGAGAGGTCAAACCAGGTCAAAAGTATCTCTAATATTTGTGTAAAAACAACTGAATCTATTCAAGTTTCCCCCGAACAACTACATTTTACACGATGACATTGAACACATAAGGTTATAAGTGACCTTCACCCAATGCTAATAGAAGAGCCTGAATGCATCACCTACGTTAGCATTAGCTGTGTTAGCATTAGCTGTGTTAGCATTAGCTGTGTTACTAGTTGTGACACCACATGGTCGTCACAGCTGCTCGTGACCGATGTTTCTGTGGATTTCATTCCAGTTAAAGTCAATGTTCTCTAACTTCTATATAACGTGTGCTGATGATTCATGGGGGATTTAAATAAAGTGCTGCGAAGTGTTTCAGATTCACACGATGAGCCTCACTGTGAGAGGAAAGAGGTTTTACACAACCAGTGTTTCAGGTTGCCTCTGCTTCCTCTTTCTGCTCCTCTTCCTCTCACAGGGCGTCAGCAGACACACAACTCTTCATGTGCACTTCTTGTGCATTTTCTAACTTCATACCAGGACTACAGATCACAGAGTGGGGCAGGAATGAGTCCTTAAAGCCTTTACATTACAGCCCATTCCCCCCACACTTGATGCTTTTGTTTTCTTCGTGTTTCCAAAGATATTTCTTGAACATTTCAGGATTGTTCTAGAAGAGTTTAGTGCGATCAGCTGCTGAGGGCGAGGCTGGTCTCAGAGCTCCCCGGAGTCTGGGCTGAGACTCAGAGAGACACTCTCTCATATTCAAATCATTCCTCTGAGCTGCTCTGAGAGGAACAGGAACTCAGAGCAGCTCCACATGCTGTAATGTTCAGAAGGAGAGGATATCTATAATATCTACATCACAGAATAAATATCACACGTCTCCTGTGATGTTCACAAAGCTCTTTATGTTTCTCACACTGCCTGCTGCAGCTCCTCTGTTCACCCTCTGTCTGAAACCAGTCTGCTCTGATTGGTTAGCTGGCCGGCTCTGTTGGGATTGTTCAACCAGCTGAGAGATGTCCCGCCCCTTAGCCTGTCACTCACAATGTGTTGGAGCGCTAGCCAATAGCAGCAGTCAGTCCTCAGTGAAGCTACAGATCAAATGCACGCTGAAGGCTCTTTGAGCATGTTAGAGGGTCTCAGAGCATGTTAGGGGCATGTTAGAGGGTCTTTGAGCATGTTAGAGGGTCTTTGAGCATATTAGGGGCATGTTAGAGGGTCTTTGAGCATGTTAGAGGGTCTTTGAGCATATTAGGGGCGTGTTAGAGGGTCTTTGAGCATGTTAGAGGCGTGTTAGAGGGTCTTTGAGCATGTTAGGGGCGTGTTAGAGGGTCTTTGAGCATGTTAGAGGCGTGTTAGAGGGTCTTTGAGCATGTTAGAGGCGTGTTAGAGGGTCTTTGAGCATGTTAGGGGCGTGTTAGAGGGTCTTTGAGCATGTTAGAGGGTCTCAGAGCATGTTAGGGGCATGTTAGAGCAGCTTTTCTCTCACTGATCCTGCTGTTATGTTCCATGTTTGTTGTTTGTTTCTCGTGTGTCTTGATGTCTGTCTGTTGATGTTCCACGTGGAGCTGCTGGGATGCAAGGAGCATGTCAGACTGGATCTGACCACTAAAGTGTTATCCTATGGTATCGAAGGAGCATGTCAGACTGGATCTGACCACTAAAGTGTTATCCTATGGTATCGAAGGAGCGTCATGAAACTCTCGCTCCTTCCTGGATGTCTCTTTGTAGAGTTGCTCCTCTGAGGTCATTTTCTGTCTTAGTTTGGTCACTTTCTTCATCCCTCTGAAACTTCTGCTGTTATTTCTAGCTTTGCACCTGATTTTGTTCTTTTGAACGACTTTCCTATCAGAACAGTTATTAGTCAGTCGTCGTCCCCCCCCCCCTCAGTGATCCATGGCGATACGAAGCTCTGATGATGGTGTCAGTTATCTGGAGTCATAAAAAGAGAAACAAGCTGCTTCTCTTTCTGTCACGCAAATGTAAATAAAGTTAGACTGTGTGAGTGTGTGTGTGTGTGTGTGTGTATGTGTGTGTGTGTGTGTGTGTGTGTGTGTGTGTGTGTGTGTGTGTATGTGTGTGTGTGTGTGTGTGTGTGTGTGTGTGTGTGTGTGTGTGTGTGTGTGTGTGTGTGTGTGTGTGTGTGTGTGTGTGTGTGTGTGTGTGTGTGTGTGTGTGTGTGTGTGTGTGTGTGATAACATCTCGGTTTTGTTTGGAGACCGTTTCCTCTTGCAGCACGATTTCCATAAACACAAATATCTCTCCCCCCCCGCCCCCACACCCAGGAGGATCATGGGACGTCAGACCATCAGCCTGTAACTGAAGAGACTGAAACGCAGCCAGCAGCCAATCAGACGCTCCGAAAGGTAACAAAGGAAACACTCACAGATACTGAGACCAACAGTTAAACATCGGCACTAAAGTCATATCTAACTGAGAATAGGGCGTTATTGTTGACATTATTATTTACATTTAAATGACAGTTAGGACACTGTCATGAAGTCGTTTTTGGTCATTTTGAGGTTTTTGTAGGTTTGTGTTTTCTGTGGTTTCAAGTTTTTTTTGGAGATTTATGTTTTTTCTTTTAGGTTGTTTTATATTTTGAGCTGGGTATTAGTTTGGAGTTTGGTGCCTTTCTCTTTGTGTTTGGACCGAGATATTTGTGTTATAGTTGTGTTTATTTTGGGGTTAGGGTTTGTCGAGTTTTGTTTATTTTGAGGTTTTTATTTATTTAATTATTTGGTTTTTGGGTTGTTTCCAGGGTTTTTGTGTTTATTTACAGTTTTGTGTTTTTAGGTTTGTTGTTTTTTTAGTTTGATTAGATTTTTTTGGTCTTTGACGGAGTATGTTATTTTAGTTTGGTGGTTTTATGGAGCTTTCTGTTCTTTTGCTCGAATATTATAAACATTTTTTAGTTGTGTTTTCTTTTTTTGTTTGGTGGAGTCTTGTGTTTTTTTTGGTCATTTCGAGCATTTTCTAAAGTTACACTTTTTTGAGTTTCTTTGGACCAAGATTTGTTGTTTTTTGAGTTTCTTAGAGTTCTTTTTTTTTGCAATTGTGTTGTTTGTCAGTTGTCTTGTATCTGTCGCAGCCCCCCCCCCCCAGGTCGTCATGCAGAGCGTGAAGTGCTCGAGGTTTTCAGGTTAATTTTTTATCTTTGGACAGAGTTTTTTTGTGTCTAGAATTTTTGTTTCGTTTTGTGGTTTTATGCTGTTTCTTTGTTCTTGGGACCGAATATTTTTCATTTTGTTGGAGTCTTGTGTTTTTTGGTCATTTAGAGGGTTTGTCGAGTTTTAGTTATTTTGAGGTTTATTTTGGTCTTTGGACAGAGTTTTTATAGTTGTAGTATAGTCGAGTTATTTTGGGTCTTTTTGTGTTTCAGTTGTTTAGGAGTTGTGTTGTGTTTGGAGTTGTGTTGTGTTTGGAGTTGTGTTGTGTTTCAGTCGTCTTGTATCTGCTGCAGGTGTGAGGTGTGAGGTGCCCCCCCCCCCAGGTCGTCATGCAAAGCGTGAAGTGCGTGGTGGTCGGAGACGGAGCCGTGGGGAAGACCTGCCTCTTGATCTCATACACAACCGGAGCCTTTCCTAAAGAGTACATCCCCACCGTGTTCGACAACTACAGCAGCCAGGTACACACACACACACACACACACACACACACACACACACACACACACACACACACACACACACACACACACACACACACACACACACACACACACACACACACACACACACACACACACACACACACACACACACACACACACACACACACACACACACACACACACACACACACACACACATATTTTTCTTTATAATTTTGTGTTTGTTGCTGTTTTTTTGTAGATCTTTGTTGATTTCGGTGTTTTTGCATTTGTGTTTGATTTTTGTTGTGTTTTTTCCTCCCAAATGTCTTACCTGTGTTTCCCTGTGGTGACCTGTGTTTTATGGGCTCAGAACAGTCTCATAATACACACATACACACAGAAGGATCCACACTTGTGTTTTTCAATGCACACACACACACATGTGATCAAATGTAAATAAAATCCAAACACAGAAAAAAGTTTTACATATGTATTTTTGATCCACACATTTGTTTTCCTTTTAAAACTCTGAACCTGCAACACAAACCGCTTTCTCTGCATGCTGTGCAGTCGTGTGTGGGTTTTTTGAGACTCCCCTGACACCCGGTTCGTACTTGTAATTTGTTCTATCTATAGCCAATCAGATGTCTCCTCCATTCAATCACATGAGCGAGGGTATGATTTATTGCGTTCATGACGTAGCGCTTCATATACGCATTTTGCGCTGTCCGGAGCTGACAGGTCCATGGAGCCTGCAGGCGCTAATCTCAGGATATACATATGTACAACTTTTTTCTGTATTTGGATTTTATTTACATGAATATGAAACAGAACACACATGTGTGTGTGCATTGAAAAACACAAGTGTGGATCCTTCTGTGTGCATGTGTGGATTATGAGACTGTTTACCTGTGTTTCCTGTGTTTCCTGTGTTGACCTGTGATGACCTGTGTTGACCTGTGTTGACCTGTGATGACCTGTGTTGACCTGTGTTGACCTGTGTTGACCTGTGATGACCTGTGTTGACCTGTGATGACCTGTGATGACCTGTGTTGACCTGTGTTGACCTGTGTGTACCTGTGTTGACCTGTGATGACCTGTGTTGACCTGTGTTGACCTGTGTGTACCTGTGTTGACCTGTGTGTACCTGTGTTGAAGTGTGTTGACCTGTGTGTACCTGTGTTTACCTGTGTGTACCTGTGTGTACCTGTGGTGCGTTCAGGTGACGGTGGACGGGCGCATGGTGAGTCTGAACCTGTGGGACACGGCGGGCCAGGAGGAGTACGACCGACTGAGGACGCTCTCCTACCCGCAGACCCACGTCTTCATCATCTGCTTCTCCATCTCAAGCCCCGCCTCCTACGAGAACATCAAGCACAAGTGGCACCCCGAGGTCAGAGGCCAAATCTGCCCGGCAACAGGGAGCCAATCACAGGCAGCGATTCATTCAAACAGGGGTTTAGTGGATGTAAACAGATGAGTTTAATGGATGTAAACAGTAAACAGCAGGGTTTTAATGGAAGTAAATGACAGGGTTTCAATGGATGTAAACAACAGTTTTAATGGATGTAAACAACAGTTTTAATGGATGTAAACAGTAGTTTTAATGGATGTAAACAGTAGTTTTAATGGATGTAAACAGTAGTTTTAATGGATGTAAACAGTAGTTTTAAAGGATGTAAACAGTAGTTTTAATGGATGTAAACGGCAGGGTTTTAAAGGATGTAAACAACAGTTTAATGGATGTAAACAGTAGTTTTAATGGATGTAAACAGTAGTTTTAATGGATGTAAACGGCAGGGTTTTAAAGGATGTAAACAACAGTTTTAATGGATGTAAACAGTAGTTTTAATGGATGTAAACAGTAGTTTTAATGGATGTAAACAGTAGTTTTAATGGATGTAAACAGCGACGTTTTAATGAATTTAAACAGCAGGGTTTATTGGATATAAACGGCAATCAATCAATTTCTTTCTCTCCAAAAGAAGCCTAAATATTTCTGATTAGTGTTGTTCTGTATTGATTGACCTCTGACCTCCTGCCTCAGGTGTCTCACCACTGCCCCGACGTGCCCATCCTCCTGGTGGGAACGAAGAGCGACCTGCGGGAGGACGGCGAGACCCAGAGGAAGCTGAAGGAGCAGAGCCAGCTTCCTGTGAGCCACCAGCAGGGGGCGGCACTCGCCAAGCAGATCCACGCCATGCGCTACCTGGAGTGCTCGGCATTGAACCAGGACGGCATCAAGGAGGTGTTCTCCGAGGCCGTGAAGGCGTACCTGAACCCAACACCTGCCGCCACCAAGAAGTCCTGCGTCCTGCTGTAGATTCAAGATTTCAAGGCTTTTATCATCATGTGTTCAGAGCTACAGTGTAGATATGTCAATGATAATCTGAGGCCACAGGCTCCTCCCACAGAGCAACACAATAACACAGAAATAGAGCAAGAACAGTCTATATGCAAAGAGAATGAACCGGGATAACAGCATGTCTTCCGGTCTGAGTTTAGTTCTTTTGAGATTTGTGGGTTTTTAGTTGGGTATTTTTGAGGGTTTTTTGGTCTTTGAACCTAATATTATTTAATTGTTTTAGTTGTGTTTTCTTTTCTAGTCTTGTGGTTTTTAAGTTACAGCAGTTTGAATGGATACAAACGGCAGGGTTTTAATGGATTTATATATATTCTAGATTTAGAGAGTTATGGTGCGTTCACACCGGACGCCAGGCAAAGATTTGCATCGCTTTACAAGTTTTACTCGTTTCAAAATTGAACTAAATTTGCATCTATGTGCGGCTTTGCATTGACTTCTTATTATGTAATCACGACGCGCAAACAATTGGCTTTGCGTCCGCTGTGAACGTACCTTTAGTTTTGGGCTCTGGTTTGAACTCTAGCTGGACAACACTGTGCGGTTCTAGAAATGCATTCCAGCCGATACCGTATGATCAGATCCTCCGCACGGCCTCAGAGCAGCGTTTGAGTTTCATTAGTTTGTGAGTTTTATTCCTGTAAACATGGACATTTCAATTCCACATGTGCATACTGAACATGGGGAATATACATTCACCCCAAAGGAACAAGTTACCGTGAAGAGAACTCACAAACTAACATGCTGTGAAGCCACAAAGTTCCTTAAAGGTCACCTATTATTTTAAATCCTCCTCTTCATGTCTCTTCTACATAAACATGTGTAGAAGAGAATGAGTAGAAAACATCGCGTCATCAAACCGTACAGTTTGTCCGGCTTCACGGGGCTCAATGTGTGTTTTGGGGGGTGACAATTAATTTAAAGCTTGTATGTAATGAGTTTTTAAGAAATAATTAAAATCAAGTGAAACTCCAGCGTCCCGTCGTCTGTCCTCCAACATTTCATTTGACTCTTTGAGATGTGATTCAACTCTGTAGTATGGTGGCTCGTTAGGGCCATTTCCAGGTCAAATAAAAACATTAAAATAAGACAATGCAGACGAGGTAAAGGTAGTAACATTAAAAAAAACAAGTCAGTATTAAAGGTGGGGTAGGTAAGTTTGAGAAACCGGCTCGAGATACACTTTTTGTTATATTCCATGGAATGCTCTTAACATCCCGATAGCAATGAATATCTGAAGTGCTTTGACAAAAAATCCATTAAAAAATATCATCAGTGGAAGCCGTAGTACTGTAAAAAGCACGACCAATCATCTGAGCCGGCCCGGCTAAAATAACTGGATGGCCTACCTGCCTGTCAGCCTTCCATCTGTGCACAAACTTATCTCGTGCCCTCATTGGTCATGTGCGCATTCGTGTGTGTTGGAGGAGGGGCTCTGTAAGGAAGCGGCAGATTTTTTCCGGTTGTGTATTTTCCAATTCTAGCGATCTCGAGCCGGTTTCTCAAACTTACCTACCCCACCTTTAAATTAATTATAATTGCATTATCATGAGAATATTATATGAAAAAAGTGGTACATTGTGATCAACAACACAAATAGAAAACTCAAATTAATGAGGAAAGAAAATATGAAGTAAAAACGTAGTTCCCTAAGAGCCCAGTCTGCTCTGATTGGTTAGCTGGCCAGGCTCTGTTGTGATTGGTCAACCAGCTCACAGATGTCCCGCCCCTCACTTGGCTGCAGAATGAAGCGGCTCACAGGAGTCACGATGTAAATAGAAAACAGGAAGTTAAATAAAGAGTGACGCTGATCAGTTATCGGCACATCAGGGATATAAATATGATCTGTATTCTGTGGAGGGTAACCTTCTGAAACTCTGATTCACGAGAGACATGTCTGTTTCATCTACATTTCAGCTGCTTTGATCAGTAAACTAAATGGTATTCAAAGCTTAAAATAATACAACATAATGTTATATTTAGTGGTTTTGATCAGGACTGATGTTTGATAAAAAAAGTGTATTAATATTGGATTAATATTTATAACAATATTTTATAAATTTGATTTATTTCCCAAGACATGGTATATAAAAAAGGTTGAAATTCAGAAATATTAATATTTTTGGTTATATATTTTAATTATCAATCACATATCCTACACTGTAAAATAAACAATTATAATTCATAAAATAATTACACTTTAGTATTTACCCATAAAAGACCAGCAGAAGCATTTTGTAAGCAAACAGTTTCATTTCATTTCATTTTTCATGTAATCGTTTATTTGAAGAGGGACAGTGCACATTGATGAACATTTCATTTTAGCTTTGAGCTAGTTTCCATCCGTAGTCCCTCACATACAACATTTAAGAACATGACATTTATAAACATAGCAAAATAAAGACATGATATGCAGTTTAAATGAAGCTCAGCGCAAGTTCTTTCAGGAAGACTGGTTCTATTTCGTAAAGGCTTCGCCCTCTAAGTTTATCGCTATTGGGTTATCCCTTATGCACCCGTTACGTACTATGTAACCCAGCTTCTATGAGTATAGGCGTAGCCCTCTAAGTGCTGGGCCCCACTGGCTCCACGAATAGCTGAAGAAAATCTGTTTGTGTGGGAGCAGATTGTCGGGCCTCCTTCCTATTTATACGGAAGTGAGTCCGTAGGTGGGGCCCACCTCGCGGGCGGGCGTGGAAGACAAGTGTTTCAGTGCTGCGCGGGTGCGCAGGGGATTACCCAATAGCGATAGCCTTAGAGGGCTACGCCTATACTCATAGAAGCTGGAGTTACAATACGTAACTTCCGTTATATATTCATCACTCCGCAGCTGCTTATAATCAGCTCATCACGGGCGTTCTCTTTAACCTATTACATTTCACCTCATTCTCCAGCAGCCAATCACCGTTCTGCAGCCAAACTTTAAAATGGTTCTCCTCTCTCCTGCAGTCAGCTGTGATTTCAGTCGTACCTGTTTCCAGATCCTCGTAGCAGATATCAGTCTCGTCCTGCCCTCGCAGCCATCATTAAAGAAACAGTGCGTGGTTAAACCGGGTCTCCATAATGCTCTGATGCTCAACAACGTCCATGTGCAGCCAGTTCGGCATCGGGTAAAGATACTCATCTCTAAGCCTCAGCAACCTCTCAAGAGCGAGAGGAGAAGACCTCCATCGGCAGAAACACGGGTACAATCCGGCCGTCTCGGCGTAAGTGAAACGAGCCGATCCGGCATCAGAACAGAGTCGAGGCCTCCTCCATCAGCTGATGGAGGAGTCGAGGCCTATTACTACCCCTCATGGCTCACTCACCCCTCCTCTCTCTTGGGTTATCTAATAATAATAATAAATAAATTAAATAAATAGAAAGACAGTATGCACGGATTGTCCTACATACTTTCATGCATATAACTGGTGGTAGTGTCCAGCATACCATGCTCTTGCTCTATCATCATACGATCCCCTCGATCTGATACTCCAGTAGTAGACCTCAGCTAACGTCTCAGTGCACACTATTACGTCAAAGCATATCAAGGAATAGATATAATATTAACAATTCAATGCTAAATATAGTCTTAACAGTGTAAGTCTATCCCACAGCAATTAGTCACTCACTCAGTGTACGTTTTAATCATCTGCAAAATACCTTCATTGTATTACAATATTCATAAATCAGCACCTCTCTTTCTCATAACGGTTCATCTAATGTCTGTCCGGTAAGTACTTGGTTTTATAACGTTATGCTTATCTCCTGCATAACTTCATCACGGCTCTCAAACCCGCAATGTACTACTTTTTCAAGCTGGCATCTATCACACACTTCAATGACTTCTGATTACATGCTCACATTTTGTACTTCATAGATGGCACTTCACCTGGCATTAATCAATAGTCCGTTTTACATTATGTGCTGCTTTCAGTGCTATCAAGTCTCTAACCGAGATATCGCACCCGGGCGGGATCGTCATCCTCCTCATACGTCTCCAACTTTCGCAGGGCATCCACGGCAAACTCAAAACCAACAAATAAAAATAAAGGATCCTAGACGTAAACAATGACGTATCAAGGCTATGGCTTATGGTCATGTGATCAAGCATTATGTTATCAGTCCAAGGCATCTCTCAGTCTCACACTGCTGGCTAATCAAAGATGCCTTAACCTATTCCTGGTAAGTCGTGTATATAACCGGCGGCAGTGTAAATATTGTATCCTCTTCTCCAGAGGAATACTTCATCTCATGCAATGCTTCTCTCACTTTGAATCTCTTAACTCACGCTCAACTAGGAGTGTGGATTGGTACTGGAGAGGACCCAGTTCCCCTCCTGGGCCACTGCCGAGGTGCCCTTAAGCAGGCCCGCCCCTCTCTACACGCAGATCACGCAGACTGCCAGGGGCCTCATCTGAAGCACAACTGTGGCACACTTCAGTTTATGAGCAAATGAGGCGCAATTGAGCACGCCACAGTCCCCCCCCCCCCCCCCCCCCCCCCCCCCCCCCCGTCGATGCATGTGTATTTCCATCCATCTTCTCCCGCTTATCCGTGGTCGGGTCGTGGAGGTAGCAGCTCCAGCAGAGAGCCCCAAACGTTCCTCTCCCATCAACCAGCTCTGACTGGGGGACCCCAAGGCGCTCCCAGGCCAGCGAAGAGATATAATCCCTCCACCTGGTCCTAGGTCTACCCCTCGGTCTCCTCCCAGCTGGACGTGCCTGGAACACCTCCCTAGAGAGGCGCCCAGGTGGCATCCTTACTAGGTGCCCGAACCACCTCAACTGGCTCCTTTCGACGCGAAGGAGGAGCGGTTCAACTCCGAGTCCCTCCCGGATGACTGAACCTCTCACCTTATCCCTAAGGGAGACGCCAGCCACCCTGCGGAGAAAACCCATCTCGGCCGCTTGTATCCGCAATCTCGTTCTTTGGGTCATGACCCATCCTTCATGACCATAGGTGAGGGTAGGAACGAAGATGGCCCGGTAGACAGAGAGCTTTGCCTTCTGGCTCAGCTCTCTTTTCGTCACACGGTGCGGTAAAGCGACTGCAGTACCGCTCCCGCTGCTCCGATTCTCCGGCCCATCTCACGCTCCATTGTTCCCTCACTCGAGAACAAGACCCCGAGATACTTGAGCTCCTTCACTTGGGGTAAGGACTCATTCCCTACTTGGAGTGGACAGTCCATCGGTTTCCAGAACCATGGCCTCAGATTTGGAGGTGCTGATCCTCATCCCAGCCGCTTCACACTCGGTTGCGATGCATGTGTATAGCAGAGTGGAAAACTGAATTTCAATAACGGCCCATCTTCTTCCTCTTAACTAGAAGGCCTCAGAACACAGTTCACTCCATGCAATCATCAGCATCATTGGGGGGCCGGGAGAATCACTCCCTCACACAGGCCCCAGCAGCCCGAGCGACCAGGAGCCTTCACAGCATCATTGTTAGTAAGATCAGGGAATACTTAGTCAGGTATTATCAATGGGCCGGGAGAAACACTCCCTAAAGGCAGCTCAACGTCATCATTATGAGTAAGATCAGGTCAGGGAACACCTAATCAGCTAACGTCACATGGACCGGTTGTTGCCAGGTAACAACATATTCAAATCATCAACAAAATCTGTATCTGCGTCAGAGAGTAAACAAATACAAACATCAAGTCAACAAACTGAGGTGAAGGGGACGTTTACTATTTGACTATAAAATGATATATTCTGTATTAGATGTACTCGTAGAGCAGTACGTGAAGCTTTAACGACTCTCCAGGATTAGATTCATAAAACTAATATTATAAACAAATTAATAAATATTATTACGGATGAAACTTTATTGGGAAAACATTTTCTAAATCTGTTACAGAGTTTACAGCTGTTAGCCGAGTTGACTTTTTTCTCAGAATTATGACTTTTTGTTTTAACTTTTTATTTTAAATATGACTTTTTTCTCAGAATTATGATAATAAACTAACTTAAACTCAAACTGCCGCTGGGCCCAGAAAGCAAATCTCATGCAGGGAATAAAGTCCAATGTCCAGGCAGAAAATCCTTTCATCCGTTTATTGTAGTTTTCCAATAAAATACAGAGATCAATGATTTTCACCTTTCTCCCTCTCTGGCCTCCTTGTAGAAAACCACACGCTAAAACTGGTGCGTCCCCCCCCCCCCACCCACCTGTGATCAATATATACTAATCACCAGTGTGGCGGAAACTTCTGTGTAGCAATGCATGGAGTCACCGACTCAGGAAGGAGACACGGTGAGAGTTGGAACTTTTGATGTCAAACACTGATGGGTTTATTCAGAGTATCGGCCGGAGGATTCACATCACAAATCAAAGAGTCAGAGGTTCTGATTCTCACGGTAGAGTTGCCACGTCAATTCTGAAGAGCCTCTCTCTATGCTAGACCTTTTAACTGGTTCACAGAGAGAAATCAACATCTCTGAAGGAGTAGACTAAACAGCTGGGAACACTGAGCCACCTGCGTCCGACACTCATGGCCTCGAAGATTTCACATCTTAGAGTCCACAAACACCGATAAAGAAGTGGCTCAGTGTTCTCACAACAAGTACCCTTCGTGCCAGACAAGTTGACCGGTCACAAACTGGTGACAACAACACATATGGCACCAAGGCCTTTCCTTAAAGGAGATAACAGACGTCAGAGTAGATCATAAAACGTCACAGAGCAAAAGGTTAGATATCTAGAAAAATTATTCCTTAACAACCAGGAGCCCACACCTCCTTCAAAATAAAAGCAGAACTACTGCAACTAAAATTGTTACGATAAATAATGATTCATTCACTAAAACTAAAACGGCCAGAAAATAAATGTTTACTTATAAAATAAGATAAACCAATATTTAGCTCCAACTCTGAATGTAATGTTAGTTCAGTGAAGGCAGGATGTGCTTATCTAAACTCTGATTCATCTATTCTGCTTCATTAATGTCCTGCTCTTCATCTCTCTCCAGTGGGGAGGGGTCTTCAGGCCAGAGACTCCGAACAGTCACCTCGGCTAACGGGAAGTCATCAAACTCGTCCGGAGCGTGGGGAAGTTTTTCTCCTTCGCAGAACTTCAGTTTCTCTCTCAGTCGGACCGGACCGAACTCCAGCAGCTGAAACAGGAAGAGCTCAGATTCAGCAACATGGACCCCATCATGAACTACAACTCCCATGAGCCTCTGGGAACACGTCACTTAACAATCCTTTTTAGATCATATTATTTATGAATAAATATTAGGACGATAAAAGTCAATGTGTTAATAAAACAACTTTCACTTTTTTAACGCGTGCACTTTTTCTGAACCTGAAAGATTTCACTTTAAAACATTTAGAAACTACGGAAATCCCAATGAATACATTTCAATTACATATTTAATCGATTGAAAGCCCTTTACATTGTCACATATATATATATATATAAATATATATATAGTTTTTCCACATTTCTATATTTCTATATATACATTTATGTGGAATTTTTTCCATTTAGTTTAAAAATGTTATTCACATTTTTCTGACTGTTATTTATCTTTAAAAATTGTTTTTCAGAGGTTTTTCAAGGTTTTTCAAGTATTCTTTCGTTATAAGATATTTTGGGGGATTTTTTCTTTCCTTTTACACATTTTCTTCTCGACATGTTTCACTTTTTTGGGATATTTTGTATTTCCTTAATAACATGGCCGTGGTGCTTCTGAGAAAAGGAGCTGAGATCAAACTCTGAAACGAGTCCTTGAAGAAGACGGACCAGATCCACTCTGATCAGTCCTACAAAGTTATCCTGGAAATATATAATTATATGAAATGTAGAGAAAAGCCTGACGCTGAGCTGTGGACAAGAAGACAAAGAGGAAGTGATCACCTTGTCCTCCTCCACATGCAGAGCGATGCCCACATTATCCCAGACGTAGAACTCATAAGGTCTGTAGCCAAGATCCTTCCTATTCACAGCCTCCATCTGCTGAGTCTCATCGTTCCGGGACAACACAAATCTGACAGAGAGACAGGAAGCATAATCCATAACTCATTTCCTTGTTGTCCCTCCCAGGTTACCTGTCATTGTTGTTTTCTCACCTGTGAGTTTCACACATGGCCTCAGGCCTCCAGATGAAGCGGCCATCTCTGTAGCAGCAGACAGCGTTTGGGTCGTCGGACAGAAGAGGATATTCTGAGAACTGCTCCTGATTGGCCGGACTGTGGACCAGCACCGCGTACATCACTTCCTGTTTGTACAGGTGGGTCTCATACACCCGCATGAGGGGCTGCTCACCGCCGCAAAACTGGAGAGAGAAGAAGAGCTTTTACACAGAATCACAGAATCACGTGGAAAAATCATTCAACAAAATGATAAACTTATATTAATGGAATGGCATTATGAGTCCTACACCCTGACATGAGTCAGCATTATGAGTCCTACACCCTGACATGAGTCAGCATTATGAGTCCTACACCCTGACATGAGTCAGCATTATGAGTCCTGAACCCTGACATGAGTCAGCATTATGAGTCCTAAACCCTGACATGAGTCAGCATTATGAGTCCTGAACCCTGACATGAGTCAGCATTATGAGTCCTGAACCCTGACATGAGTCAGCATTATGAGTCCTAAACCCTGACATGAGTCAGCATTATGAGTCCTAAACCCTGACCTGAGTCAGCATTATGAGTCCTAAACCCTGACATGAGTCAGCATTATGAGTCCTGAACCCTGACATGAGTCAGCATTATGAGTCCTAAACCCTGACATGAGTCAGCATTATGAGTCCTAAACCCTGACCTGAGTCAGCATTATGAGTCCTAAACCCTGACATGAGTCAGCATTATGAGTCCTGAACCCTGACATGAGTCAGCATTATGAGTCCTAAACCCTGATGTGAGTCAGCATTATGAGTCCTAAACCCTGACATGAGTCAGCATTATGAGTCCTACACCTCAGTACCTGCCGACTGTAGGCCTCCAGCAGCTCCTGAACGGAGAAGGTGAAGCGGTACGATCCCAGCCTGGAGCTCTTCTTGAAGGCCGGCGAGGAGGCAAACTCCCCCAGGAAGCTCTGCTGATCCTGGACCTGCTGCTCTGTTCGGTCCGGGTATGTTTCCTGGAGGAGGCGCTGCTCAGCTGATCTGAGTTCCTCCCCCCCCACAACCAGACCCCACCACACCAGGCCTTGTTTTCCTTTGAAGCCTCCGGACTTCGTGATGCCTTCCAAACCGTCTCTGTCTGTGTCGTGCTTCAGATGGCTCACATGGATCTCTGGTCGTGGGTATTCTGGGATTATTTCATTTTTAAAGAGGTAATTGTTTCCTGAGCCCTTTCTCTTTCTCAAATCATCCAGCTTCAGATGCTCCTTCCTTACAAAGTTAAAGTAACTTCCCCTCCTGTTCCATTCAGCCTCCATGATCAGCTGGCTCTCCTCTGAGGAGGATCTATTACAGCAGACAAAGTACAGCTAGAGACTGAAGATAAACCCCACCTGCCACCACCTGTCTTTATGTAGTCGAGAGGCCCTGTTGGGTAATATAATTAATCTGTGTCATCATGAGATGGAGGAGGGGAACTTCTAGTTTCAGTGTCTTCAGAAAATCACCAGTGCGATTTTTATTTTTTAATGAGAAGACAAAACTCAAACCCACTCGTCTGAACCAAACCCTCCACCAGTTAGAGAAATTAATCCAAAGCTTCGGAAGAAAATACATCAAACACACACTACAAAACACACACTACACAACACACACTACAAAACACACACTACACAACACACACTACAAAACACACACTACAAAACACACACTACACAACACACAACACACAACACACACTACACAACACAACACACACAACACACACCTCAGTGCTACCATTAATAATTAACAGATTACTGCCGTGCACACAGTCAGGAAAAGACACACAACATATTCAAAAGTCATAAAGAGTATGAACTTTTGAAACAACATCATAACATTCATCTGGCTGCTACTTGGGAATGATGTATCTAATATATCAAATCCAATCACTTGTACTATTTCACTTTTTTACTATTTTTCCTTTTGTATTTACTTGCACAATTTTTTTTCTGTTGATCTGTGTTATTGTGTTGCTCTGTTGGAGGAGCCTGTGACCTCAGATTTTCATCGCCAGCTGTGCACATATGACTAATAAAAGCCTTGAACCTTGAACCTTGTTAGTGCGCCGGCTGATGGAGACATGGGAGTGGGGGCCAGACAGCTGATCGGATCAGGTAATAAGTCACTACATGAGAGCACTCTGGTAACCTGGTTCCGGTCCCTCTTGCAGTAGGCCGGGTCCTGAGAGGACGGACCGATTACAACACCTCCCAGAATAAAGGAAGACTGTGTTTGTTTTCTGTTGTTTGCCTAAGTGGCTGACTTTTTGGAATAAACTCTATTTTGTTTTTGAACCCATCCCTCTCCTTCCGTGATTTATAAACAACGCGTCACAGAGTTCCTTTACAGTGTACTGTAACTGAATATTAATACAGTGTAATGTTAGTACTTTCACTGTAACAGAGTATTAATACAGTGTAGTGTTAGTACTTTTACTGTAACAGAGTATAAATACAGTGTAGTGTTAGTACTTTTACTGTAACAGAGTATTAATACAGTGTAGTGTTAGTACTTTCACTGTAACAGAGTATAAATACAGTGTAGTGTTAGTACTTTTACTGTAACAGAGTATTAATACAGTGTAGTGTTAGTACTTTTACTGTAACAGAGTATTAATACAGTGTAGTGTTAGTACTTTCACTGTAACAGAGTATAAATACAGTGTAGTGTTAGTACTTTTACTGTAACAGAGTATTAATACAGTGTAGTGTTAGTACTTTCACTGTAACAGAGTATTAATACAGTGTAGTGTTAGTACTTTCACTGTAACAGAGTATTAATACAGTGTAGTGTTAGTACTTTTACTGTAACAGAGTATTAATACAGTGTAGTGTTAGTACTTTTACTGTTACAGAGTGTTAGAAAAAATATCACTGGTCACCGGCTTGATCTTCAATCTCAAGATACATGTATTTATTATCCTTGCAAGAATGGAAGTAGTCCGCACACACAGAGGCTGCGTGGGACAAATAGTTCCCAGAGTAGAGTCCTTGATATGCTTTATATACAAGAGAGGGTGTTACAGTCAACAAGATGGAGGAATACTGGTTCAAAGCAGTATTCTGACATTAGTTAAGATTAGCTAAGGCCTGCGTAAGCATTACACATGACAGTCATATGCCTATCTCTCTAGGGGCTGTGTCATCATGCCAATCTTAGGAACATAGCTATCTTAACTTCAACACAGTGTCTCATGAGCGTCATCCATGTAGTCATACATCCGGCTACGTACACAGCTACGTAGGGCCTCTGTTATCAGGTGCTACTCTGATATAAAAGGAACATTCAGTATTTTCCCAACATAACCCTCCTGTTTATACTCAGTATAAAACTTAATTGAAAATACAAAATGTTCAAATGTAAGGCATAAAACGCCAAAAATAAAGTTCAATCAATTAGCTCAGCATAAATGTAAGACATAACAATTTAAATGTTTCAATTTCAATCGGATGGTTCACTTCTTCATGTGAGTCCTTATGCCGTTATAGTCCAATGTTTTCTGCTTCGTCAGTCAAGGCCATGAGTGAAAGCTCACAGCCAGGGGAGGAGTCGGCCGATCCCCCTTTCCCTCCGTCATCATCGCTGGGTGCGTCCTGTTGAGGCAAGGGCTGGTACTGCACTAGGTCTGTTTAGTGAGTGCTGTTTCAGTGAGTCTGGTAGATAGTAGGGATGTGAATCGGGACAGGGCCAGATTCTTCCATTTTTCAAACGAGGGATCATCGATTCCTGTGTTCTCAGTCAATTCTTCTGAAAGGGATGTAAGGCCTCCTTTCACTGTGCAATCTGGGGCTGTATTGTTAGGGATAAGCAGGTGGTGCCTAGGGTGCTAGGAACCCCTGGGGTCCTTTTCCTCGGGTCTTCTAGCCTTAAAGTTTGATGTCCATCATGTTGTGATCTCAGGTGATTGCAGGTCTCCCTTGAAAAAGAGATCGTTGATCTCAATGGGATTTTTTAACCTGGTTAAATAAAGGCTACAAACAAACATCTCGGCTGGGCAATTTAACGATTCTTCTCTTGACTCTGATTTGTTAGTTGCTATGGATGGCGTCTCGGTATTGGTTTCAAATGTAAGTTTTTCGCTGTCTTAGGGTCTCAGTGTCCCCCAATAATAATGGTTTTACTATCAAAAGGGCTATAGCTGAAAAGATGCATGAATTCCCCTAAACCAGGGGTTCCCAACCCCCGGTCCGCGGACCGGTACCGGGCCGCGGAGGTGTTACTGCCGGGCCGCGAAATAGCTGTGAGTTTATCGTAATATTTGCAGAATTATAAATATATATATATAATTTTCGCACCTATGCCACCAGTCATATTATTTCATCCAGTAGCTAGTTAATCTTTCACCAGAAAACCGTTGAAAATGGCTTTTATGATGTTCCGAGGGATTCGGCGGCTCAGCCTATAAGGTCTCAGCCTCTTGTGCGCACGAGCATGTTACCGGTGCGCCAAGTAGGAAGAGGAGCGCACAGGAGACAACCGTTTGATTGCAGACTGTTATGTTTATGTGGGGAAATGGTGGTGCATACATTATTTGAGATATATTTCAAACTCGGACTTCATTTTAAGGACATGTCGGCCAGGGGTGTAGAGCTATTTGTTTAAGCACCGGATTGGCAAAACAGGAGAGTAAACCAGTCTGCCTTGATCTATGGATTAATGTCCGGGACTCTCACGGTATCTGCTGCCCGCAGCTGTTTTATAGAAGGAAACCCTCCTTCCCTTCATGATTTGGCTGCAGCATCAGGAGGCGGCGGGACGTATACTCGGTAAAAAGCTGTGCCTTTTTACGCACCGCCTTCGCTGTGTTTAATTTAATCAGAACAGTTTAAGAGTGACTGCAGGCTGCTCCGTGTTAACCACACACACATCTACATACATCGAACTGCCCGATTACTCCCCTTTTTATTAGTTTTATGAAGGAGATGTCCAGTCAGTCACCAAGGCGCATGTGTGTGTATGTGCTCTGCTCAGCTCAGCTCAGCTCTGTGTGTTCGGTGTGTTTGTGTCTGTCCGACACCGGCATATATGCGGCTGTTCCCAAAATAAATTAGTTTAATCTTAATCTCGATGTAGTGCTAAACTGTCGGGAGTGCACCGGAACGAACGACACTATCATAATATCTTCTGAAAACAAATGCCAGTGTCACACACACACACACACACACACACACACACACACACACACACACACACACACACACACACACACACACACACACACACACACACACACACACACACACACACACACACACACACACACACACCCTGGCGACCGGACATCTCCTTCATAATGCACCTTCTCCTCGTTTTCACAGCATTCACTGGATTATCCGTAAATCATACAAACAAAACCAAAACGTTGATTTATCTGTTTTCCCGTTTTGGTTTAAAAACTGAATAACGTCGGTTTTTTGGTTTTCCGAAAAACCAAAAAACAACACCGGTTCTTTTTTAAACTTTGTTAATATTTTTTGGATGCATATTGTTCTAGTATTTGTTCAGGCTGTTACATACAATTAGCCTCTGTTGCTACCTGCTGGTGGTGAGTAAATATTAAAATCAGTTAAAATTGACAACCGGTCCGCGATTTTTTTTTAATGTATCTACCGGTCCTTGGCACAATAAAGGTTGGGAACCCCTGCCCTAAACCACAGCCCCGGTCTCCTGAAGGGGGGCCATGGTCTATCATGTGCTGTCTGGTACATGGTGTGCCAGTTTCTGTCGCTCAGACTTGTTCTCCTGCGAACAGTCACTCTCTAGTTCTGCTGGGTTCTGCTGATTTCTTCACTGGTTTGAGACAAGTGGCCCTATTGGTGACACCTCCCTTTGAAGCCAGACTTCACCACAGCAGAGTCGAGTTTCTGCATTTAGGCCTGAATAGCTCCACAGTCAAGTGTATCCAGGATGGTGTCTCTGCTCCTCCAACTGCAGCTGGTGTAGACAGGGTTAGTGCTAGATCGTATACCTCCTGGGTTTTATGCGGCGGAAGTGACGTAATAGTGGTCGTGGATGAGACGGCAACTTTTGTTGCGCTCGCGCTCCAACAGACAAGTCTGTCAAGGATGCCAACGCGCAACAAACAGGATGCTTTCACATAAAATCTTTCAAACACTGAAGGATTTCGAGGAAGCGTTAGCAGACGTTGAAGAAACAACGATCACAAAGTATATTGTGTACAAAAAGGAACAGGTTTTCGGGGAAAATAGTAAGTTTGTAAAGTTAGATCGGAAATTGAAGAAACAACGATGACCAAGTAGCCTACATTGTGTCAGTAATCAAATATTAAGTAGGCCCTATATAGG